TAACGCTGTCACATTACCTACATCAAGTGTCACTTTAAAACGCATTTTTCTTTCACTTTCACCCCGCTCGACAGCGGGTCTCATTTTGAAGTGTTGCTCAAAGCTGTCGCCACTTTGCTTTATCTAAAGACCGTTTCTGGCCCAATGTCCTGTCCCTTCCATTCCGTTTAAACCAACCAATTTGCCCCCATTTCCATCCTACCCTGGTAGGGTCTGGGGGCCTTGTGTTTGTAAACAATTCGAGGCACATTAAGTTCCAATTAAGTAACATTCCAGGCAAATCAGTGAGAGACAGAGACCCGGCCTCTGGCATTTGTTTATGCTGCTGTTGTCCTTGTTTTGGGGGCAGCAGCAAGAGCAGCAGCAGATTGCTTTGTTAATATTAATTTGTCATTAGTTTGGCTTACGAGCGTCTCGTTTAAAATGCATTGATAGGCCAAGTGGCTCTTATCACAGCTACAGCTGCGAGCTATATACACAACCATTGGATGGTCGGTTGGCTGGTTGGTTGTTTGGTCCATCGTTCGTCTTGCCATCAGATAAGTTTAATGCGCTTTAAACTGTTTGGCTAGGAGCTTGCGGTCTTGGCCGAGAGAGATGCGGGGCTAAACGCAATCCCCCCTTTAGGCCAGGGTCCCTTTGAAAACTAGGCACAACTGTTGCTTGGCCACTTTGCTGATGAAAGGGTGCGAAGGTATTTCGGTTGCGGCCCAACCGCAGCCTCACCTGCTCACCGGCTCAGCTTCTCATCCTTTTCCAGTGGGTTTCATCACTTGAAAAAAAATGGTATAGAAAACCAAAGTCTTGTTATTTATCTTGCTATTTTTGATTTTTTTTTATTATTATTTATTTTTTTAATAGTTTCCTTCAGCAAAGCAATAAATAGTTTCCCCTAGCTGGATTTTAGAAAACATTTTTCAAAATCAGCTTCGCCTGTTTGTCATTATTGGGGTCACAGTCTGATATCCTAAGTCGTAAATCTTCTTGGCTAGTCACCAACACTAAATTCTGTTCATGCGATTCCATAACTTCTAACGAATTTTATCGGAAATTGTACAAAAACTTTCTCAATCAGAAACAATATAAACCATTTTTAAGATTTTATTAATGAATATGCATAGGTTTTGGGTTTAGAAAAATTTATTTAACAAATGTCTAGTTTTTTTAAAAATAAATTTTTTAATAATATTTTTTTTTTTTTTTTTAATTTTATGAGGTTTAGTTTTTTTTTTCTTTCCGTCCCCCTGTCCCTCCCTCCCGTCGGTCTGGAACCGGGGGAAGTTCTTAGGAATTTTAGGTAATAAAGGGGAGATTAGGGGGGGTTTGGGTCCCACAGCCCCCCCCGAATTTTGTATTCACGCCACGCCCACTCAACGCCCACAAACCGAAAACCAAAAACAAAATCTCGAAACTATAAAAGCTACACAATTTGCTTAAGAACACGTATTTAGAGATGCCTCGCAACTTGCCACGAGTTGCATCCGGCCACGCCCACCTAACGCCCATAAACCGCGGAAACTGTGGAGTCCAATATTATTAGAATGCCTTCGTTTGACCTTGTGAACTATTTCGTTAATATCTATCGACTTACAAAAATTTTTCAAATCGAACATTATTTCGCTATTTATGAAGAAATAAGGTTAAAGGCTCCACGGGCAGTGACGTCACTATAAGCATACCAACATACTTCCACAATAGGTTCCCTAATTTCCACTACAAAATAATATTTAAAATCAAAAACAGAACGGGATCTATAGTGCGGCACTCGACTATAGCGTTTCCTCTTGTTTTTATTATTTTAATTTATTTATTTTTTAGTTAAATGTTTAGCTCGTTCGGTCCTGATTTCCATTTCTGTGCTTTTTCCTTTGCTTTAAAAGAACTTCTTTGTTTCTCAGTGCAATCTTGGCTTTATCTGGTCATCGGTCGAGCATCCTAGTGTGCCTTTCTTAGGATGCCACTTTGATGGACAGATCTTAGAGCACAAAACATAGAGATTTCATTTTCCGCAACAGGACCTTTTCGTTGGACTGGCACTCTTCGTTCTGTGGCTATGCCTTTTGCCGGCCATCAACTTGTTTTCTTTTTTTTTATTTTCATCTATGGATGTATATGTTTTTTTTACGCTTCAACACGGACGGACTATGCAATACATATACCTATATAGAAAGTGTATGTATTTATATAAACACTAGGAGCACTCAAAGGCTTCGGTCTCAAGTGTCGACGTTTTTTTATTTCACGCTACTTTGAGCTGATACACATGCAAATACACACACATTGCGGGGGCCACAAAGCGTAAAAATGTATAAAGCTTATGCCAACTGGCAACCCATTCTGGCCCACTGCCTTTAGTCAGTCAGTCAGTTTAGTTTAGCATACCATTCGCCGACCAAACTACGCATAAAAAGCTAAAAATATATATATAGTATAGTATATATGTTTTCAATTCAAGCGGCCACGGCAATGGCAACCGCACCATCTGACTCTGAATAGAGGTATAGAGTGGAATATGGCTAAAAAGGAAGGTGTTATCTGATTGCCATTTTAAACACAGCGCCCGCTGCAGCAATTTCGAGTGCAATTGGCAAAAGCACTGGCCAAATCAAAAGCGAAGCCCACTGAAAGGCTTGGCGAGCGCATAAAAACCAGTTAGATTCAATGAATGGGTTAGCAGCAGCAGCAGCACCAGCAGCGGTTCCAGTGTTTTCAAAACCTCTCAGCAATGAAAAAAGAGAGAAAAATACCTCGACTACTGCCCGAAGAGACATTAAAAGATAATCGGCACCAAGTAGAAGCGCAATCAGAGTTTCCCGTAGAGGATAAAAGACCAGCGGACACATTTCTTATTTGTCAACGGATTGTCAAAGCCAAGTTGTCAAACGTTGAGATCTTTAAAGAGCGGGGTATATGGCTTAGGTCATCAGATTTGCTTAGGAATATCCTGATGGTTACTTAAGGAGTATTCTTTTATGGTTATCTAAGATATGAAATTAAAACTTTTAAGTTAGGATATTAAGATAACCAAAAACACATTCCAAGTACATTAATATATTATATTATTTATACAAAACTTAATACACGAACATAATTCGTTTAATTGCCATAAACCGTACACAAATATTTGCCCATCAATGAGTGATTGTTCTCCAAAAATTATTATTAATTTACGTTCAATTACAACAATTAGGAAGTCAAGCCAAGCAGGCAACTAAACACCACAATTAGTTGACGGCATGCCATTGTGAATTATTAAGGATTCCCCACCGCGCAGGACATGCAAATACCGTTTGACTTTATTGGCCAACTGCAGTTCTTGACTGGTTTTTCGTTGCTGTTAATTGAAATAATAATTCATGCTCACGTAGCTCGTTAGGGCATCGGACATTTCCCCCTCTGTTTTCTTGGTCTCTCTATGTATATGTGTGTCTTCGATGTCCTGTTGCTTGTTTTTCTGTTTGCGTACGCTTTTCTGAGTCGCATGTGTGTGTTTGTTTGCTTACACTGGGAGAGAGAGAGAGTTGGTCTATAAGTGCAACGGGGCGTATGTGCAACGCAAGTCGTTTAAAAGTCACACACTAATTAAACGACACTCGGACACTTTGCTCGACTGGCCTGTGAGTGTAGGTTGCGGCATGTGGCATGGGATCGCATAGTGCTTACACTATCGGCAATTAAAATCTAAAAAGAAGTGAGTTCTTCCTGTCTGTAAAGCTGGGAAAAAAAAGAGAAGAAACCCCGTCTCCTATTTGCTTAAGCTTTTCCCTCATCTGTAAAGTAAGTGATTGAGCTCCGGTTAGCGCCAAGCTGGGCAAATAATGCGGTAAGCCACGCTAGATTTTAATGAATGAAAGCGATAAGCGTTTTCAATTGCTTCAAAGAAGAGCTGGACTCTGGGCAAATAAACAGCTGATATCGTTGGGCCATCAAAGTGAAACATTTACTACGAGTTTTTGTTGTATTCTTAAACCAAATGTTTTGGTTACATCTATCAAGATCTTTAAAAAATGATTAGAATCGTTATATTCCTAAATTTATGTTGCCCTTAACCACAATTTAAATGCTGACCCCATATCTCTTATCTATCGGTCTCTAAAGCAAATTTTACAAATTATTTTTTATGTTTATACCCATTGTTTGAGAAGTAAAAAGATTAGTTGCTTTCGTTGAGAAGTATATAAAAGTTAGAAGGATTTGTTTCCGACCCTATAAAGTAAATATGAACACCGAGTCAAGAGCCGAGTCTATTTAGCCATGTCCATCTTTCCGACCGTCTGTAGACCCGTAGAAGTAAGAGTTTCCGACTTTCTTTTAATTCTTTTCAATAATAATTTTTGTCAATACCTAATGGTTTATCAAAATTTTTATACTTTTAATATTTAACATTTATTAAGAAATTAGGTTTAAAAGTCCTTAAATAGGCAGTGAAGTCCCTCTTCAGTTATTTACCCCTTAGCCCTTTATCAAAAATGCGAATTTTGGTTTAACCTGATTGAATGCCCCAAATTTATAAGTACTTTGACCAAAACAAGGCCAAAAGTTGGAATGGCATATCTCGTTGGATTCGGTATTAAGTTTTTTATTAAAACTGCAGTCAACCCTAAAATTCTTCATTTTTGAAATTTTTTTTCGCAAAAAAAGAAAATGAGAAAATTGCCTATCTGAGATTTTATCCTCAAAATGATAGTATTATGTCCATAACCTTACCAATAATAATTCGAATATGGAATGCTATACCTCGATGAGCTTGTTTTCTAATTCCTAGTCGATCTCCATTTAAACTTAAAAAAGTACATTTTTAAAGTACAATTTATGAAAATGTTAAATTTGTCCTATCCTGTTTCCAAGCCTAAAATTTTAATGTTTTGACAATAACAATGCCGAAGAAGGTCGGAAAATGGAATGTCTGACCTCTTAAGTTGTATATTTCACTCGATTTTAGCGTTACTTCTTGTTTTTTATTATTGATACTATCCCCTTTATCCCTTTAACCACAATCCCATTACGTTGTCAAATAGTCGACTGTGGAATCATTAGGTAATCCCTGTTAAGTTTACCACAGCTAAAACTTCATACAAATTTAAAAAATTTTTTTTAAGTTTCGTTTTTTTTTCAGTTTTGTTTTTATTTTTGGTTTTTCGTATTGGTTTTTTTATTTCGAATAGCCACTTAAGCGAATGGGGAAAATGGACTAACACCATAGATGCCGCCGGCAGTGGCACCAAAGCCGCCAATGGCCGGATATCCAATATTATAGCCACCGCCATAACCATAAGGACGACCATAATATCCGCCAGCCAGACCCAAGCCGCTGGTGCCGTACAGATTGCCGTAAGGATAAAGTGAAGAGCGTATGCCGGCGTAGCTACCATAGCCACCGTATCCTCCATAGCCACCATATCCACCATAGCCAGCACCATATCCTCCTCCATAGCCACCCAAATAGGGATAGGGAATTTGGCGACTCACTCGCTCTCCCCTTTCGTCATCCTCAGTTTTTCCGGACTCATTTTGCTGCAGCGGTTGGCCAACTGTTGCGGCGATTAGCAGCGCATATAATCCAAATAAAAACCAGCTACGCATTATCCTTATGGCTCCTTGAACTGCTTGCTGGTCGCTTGACTTTATCAGTGGCTTTATGATTGCTCTCCGTGGGCACTCCGTTTGCTAACTGTGACCTGGCCAACGTGCGACCGGTGTCTTTATAGCCTAGAACTTTGGGCATAAAATGGAAACTTTTGTTTCGCGATTTCCTTTCCTTGGACTTGGTCTCTTTGTTTGTTTTTCTTTTTTTTTTGCGGTCGCTTGTTAGCAGAAATTAGATGCTAATGTAAATGCCATAAAACAAACTATTAAAATATGCGAGTGTACGGTTGCCCCAGCAAGCAACTTAGAGGCTGCTGCCGGTGCCAGTGCCAGTGCCGCAAATTGAGGAACAAAAAGCCAATTCATATGGTTGCGACCCGGGTATTTTTGGTGGCACGCTAAGTGGCGCTCATGAAATCGAATGGCAGACAGTTTAAAGAGCAAAACATTTCACTTTGCGGGCGTTACCAACTTCCGAGCAGTGTTGGCCATTTCAGATTACAGCAAGTAGCCTAAATTGCGCTTTGAATATTTTATAAACGGGAAAAGTGGGGTATAACTATAAATATTAGAATATTATACTTTAGTTTAGGCAACTAACTAGCCCTATTAGACTGTTTTATAAATAGTAAAAGAAACTTTAAAAATGTACTTACTTTTTTTATCTATTAAAAAATTTGTTTATTTGCAGATCCTCTTTAACATTCGCTGCAGCTTTGAAATCACGTATAAAAGCGCCTAAAAGTACACTTTGCATTTGTGCTCTCTGCATTTCAGCTTAAAACATTTCGCTGCATGCTTTTAGATACACTTAGAAGTGGTTTGAAATCCTTGGTGGTTTCTGTGGCTAAAACATTGGCTATGAAATCGCCAAGTTGGCCACACAACTTCTGCGGTCAGGTAAGCTGTGTAAATGTGCTAATTTCATTTGAAGGTTAGTTATGCTATTGACCAGACCCATACCCCATACCCATACCCATTCCATAACATTCTCATTCCCATTCCCATTCCCATTCCCATTCCCAGACTTTCGGCAGACGCCTTCAACTTCGGGGTGCGTAAGTGTGAATTGCTGTTAGCTGTTGCTCTTGTTGTTTGTCGAGTTCGGCCAGTTTGCGAGTTTGCGAGTTTGCCAGTTTGCCGGCCTGCTTTGTGTTTGCTTTGGCCTGTTTGCTGCTGTTTGGCTTCGCTGTTTGTTTTATGAGCGCGGGCCGGCCATTAACAATGCTCGATGGCTCAATAGACGGCTCTGAATAGCTCTCAATTGGTTTATTGCGGTTTTTTGGCGCATGTGTTTTTCGTACAAATCCGTTGTCTAATCCAAAGCCATTGCTGCGGCATTTTAATTCATTTATGCAAAATGCAAAATCTCTCTCTCCTTCCTCTATAGCCATCTCCATTTCGCTGCCCAAATTTGCTTATTCAAATTTAAGCGCTTTTAGCCAGTCCAGAAAACTGGGTCAATTAACGATGTCAACGTCAAAATGATGATGCACATTTTGTGACCCTCCATTCCCCTCTCTTACAGATACCCAATCCCCTGAGTCCAAAAAATTCTCCACTGGCTGGCATAAACTTCCGCATAAATTTCCACCGAGAGACTGCAACTGGGAAAACTCAATGGGAGAAAAAAATAAAAAAGAAAGAGAATCTCAGACGAGGCATAAATTAAAAATACACTTTTTACTCGACCACGGCCGACCCGGCGTAAAAAGTATTTTGACTATGATTGTCATAATCAGTGGAGAAACTGAAGTAGAAAAGAATTAAAAAATGAAAAGCAGCAGGAAACTTAAAAAAATGGCCACGCAAACATTTACCCTACAGTACTTTCCCGCTCAAACGAACCGAATGGCGATTAGTAAAATTACTAATTTACATTGGCCAGGTGTTCAGCGGTGGCCGGCCAACTAATTTCAGCTTTTTTGGGGTTGAGTTGTAAGCCAGGTTCACGGGTTATTTATGCGCCAAAATGGAAATTAATATTTTAAAAGAAAAAACAGGAATTTAAATTGAATTCGTAACGAAAAAGAACTGCTTGTGGTTTTCGATAGAAGAAATATTAATTAAGATTTGTTTTCCTGTTTTGATAATATTTTTTAGATAATTTGTTGACAACATGTGGCTCACATAATTATAACTAATAATAAGTCGTAATAAAAATGAAATCACGATCGCATTAGTATAACTTTTTTACCTGTTTAAGCTGGGGAAAATCTTTTCGCTTTTAATGCGACTGTCCCCCCTCCTTAAAAGTTTTTAATATTTTCCTTTGCTTGCATTTTGTTTGTTACTTTCTTTGAAAAGTTCAACATAAAGTTTAAGAGAAGAAAAAAGATGGCTATAATGTTGTGAAAAAAGTAGGCGGCAGTGATGTCATTTTTCCTTTTACCCCTGTTGAACTGAACGATGGCCGGCAATTGACGGATGACAGGTCAGAGGGCAAATCAGTTTAATATATAAGTTTGAGCCGTAGCAGATTTATTTTAACGTTCACTTTGAGTGTATAATTGAATTAAAAGTTTTCTGCTCCTTACTTCTATTAACTTTCTTGTGAAAATAAGACGACCTAGAGGAGATTATAGTCTTGTTTACATTTATTAAATAATTGTTTAGAATTAGCTTTCTATAAGGAAGATGTTTCATTTGAAAGACTTAATTTAACTTAATAAAGTAACTATACTAGGTTTTTATATAAGAACATCTTTTTAAGCAGAGATCATCACTTAAAAATCACCTAAGAACTTGTTTTGTTGGAAAGATTTTATAAAATTTCTAAGGAAGTGATTCATATAAGCATTTAATGATATCGATTAGCAATCCAGTTTTTTCTTCTCAGAAAACAATTAAAAATTACTTAGTTTGAAAATAAACAACTCTTACAATGATAAATTACAGTGATAAATTACTAAAATGTTTACAGTTTAAAAACTATAAAGCAAGATTAATAGAAAAGTATAAAGAAAATCCCCAGACCAGTTCTTAAAATGTGTTAACTACTGACTAAGCTAATCACCGAAATGAGTCAGTGTCTCTATCAAAATAAATAAAAACAAAATTGATAACATTTAAATAACAACCAGTTGCGTCTGACTCCGTGTTTACCCTTAGATTTTAATTAAGTCAAACAAACAAAACAAAATCCCCGAGTCGACGTCGCTTTACGAAATCTGAAAGATGAATGGAGTGGACCACTTCAGATGGTGCTTTCCATGAATACATTTGGCCACTTGGTCTATCGATCTGTTGTTTTGTTATGCCGGCCAAGAAACTTGAATGTTTTGCGCATTTGAATAGTCAGATGTCTGGGAGAAAGCCCATCTCAACCGGCCGGCCTGGCCACTTCAGAGCTCCTCTCATTTATATGTGGATGTTTGCGAAAAAGTTTGCTACGCTCCGTTTTTGGTTGCCTAATAGGTTTTGGTTATTATTATTGGTAACGATATTATTGTTGTTGTTGTTGTTGTTGCTTAGCGCTTAGCTAAACAGTTAATACGAATCGCTCTGCCCGCAGTATTCATTTCAGTTTTTGGCCTAACACTCGCAACTTTGATGTTCCGTCCCGTCCCGGTCGAACCACTTCAACTTTTATTCGCTTCCTCCGCCGACGCCGACGACGACGACGCCGCCAGTCGATAAATTCCAAATCATATAAATTGCCAGGCCGCAGTGCCGGGTCTTCATAGAATCCATCGAAACTTTGTCGGTGATTAGTGGCAGAAGTTTCCTCGAATATGCGCACATTCGTTTGCCTCGCCCTGGCGACCATTCTTCTGGTCGCCGGCTCCTCAGCAGCCACATTTGATCCTGCGGCTCAACTCCTGGCCGTGGATGCCGGTGTCCAGGCACCAGTGGCAGCACGGCAAGCTCGTCAATTTGGTGGATTCGGCTTCGGTCCAGGAGGTGGATTCGGCGGTGGTCCAGGAGGTGGCTTCGGAGGCGGCGGTTTCGGCGGTGGCCCAGGAGGTGGCTTCGGCGGTGGTCCAGGTGGTGGCTTCGGAGGCGGCGGCTTCGGCGGTGGTCCAGGAGGTGGCTTCGGCGGTGGTCCAGGAGGTGGCTTCGGAGGCGGCGGCTTCGGAGGCCGTCCTGGAGGTGGCTTCGGCGGCGGTTTGGACGCTAAAAGCCAACCAGCAATCATCTGTGACTGACTTAGCATACTTAACCCACTAGAAATAGAATGTCTAATCAAAGTGCAGTCAAGCACGTTCTAATTAATTTCCAAATACATTCGACCATGTTCTTTGATTCACTTAATTTCCTTGTCATTTGCATGGCCTACAGTGATTGGCAAAGTTATTTAGACTTAAATGTAAATGTAAGGGCACTAGAAAAAATTGTTGTTATACTTGAAAAATGATTCAAAATGACGAGGTAAAACTCAAAGGGGCTACCATCAAACAATGTTTACCCCAAAAATCCTAGAAGATTTAAAAAATATCCCTACAAGTATGCTACAACATATGGGGAATCTTGAAGTAGGAAAGATAAATACTGAAAACAGCCCACATTATTTTCACAGCATGCTTTTAGACAAATTTTCAAGTGATATTCAACCTCTAGATTCTAGAATCTATATTATCCTTAAACTCTATGGCTGCCATGGATAAAAATGAAGATAAATTTTATCGGTATTTTTCTGCCTGTAAATCAGCATTTAATTCTTTCTCGTGCGCCGTTCAGTTTGCTTTTGGCCTATTTATAACAAAGCAATCCATTGAAACTTTGCCCCGGCTGCTGCTGCTGCTGCTGCTGCCAGTGGCGTTTGCTATCTAACTTGCCAATCGCGTTTGGCTCGCAAAAGTCGTTTAAGATTAAACGTTTGCTGTAAAATTCCACTCTTTTGACAAGCGTCCTTTTTTATTGTTTAAAAAATTAACTTGGCTTTAAATTTACGCCTTTTGTTATCCCTTGACCTTAGCGCAAAGGACAGCCACCCACACGGCCAGCCCACCCACTCATATAAGGGTCATACGCCAACATTGATAAAAGTTTTCGTTTCTTTTTTTTCTTACTCGCTTCTCCCCCATCGCCCATCGCCCATTTTCATTTTCATTTTTTTCCTCATCTGGCTCGTGAAAAATTCCTTGTTACTAGAACGCAGTCTTGTAAAAGGCTTTGTTAGTCTACACTTTCACGGTATACTTTGGGAACTTTGTTAAAAGAGGACTTTTCTTTTTTTTTTCGTTCCAGTGCTTTAATGACTTTGCATAGTTGGGGTTTAAAGAATTCAACAGTTTTAGATTAAGAAGTAAAGTCTCAAAAATCTTCTGAAACATTTAACAAAGTATTAAGATAATTCTCAAGTAACCCTGGTTAATAGTTCTTTAAAAGAGAGCTTCATGAAAAAAGTTAAGAAAATGTAAAATATTAATAAGAATTAAAATTATGTATAGACATTGATTAGAATTAACTTTCGTAATTATAAATAAAAATATTTAAAATCCCTCAAAAAAGCATCTTCCAGGCTTTCCCCTCAGAGTATTATCAATTCGATGACCTGATTTTTCAGACTTTTTGGCCATTTTGGCGAAGCTGTTCTTATCGAAATCGTGTCTCAATAAATCTACGGCACCTTCGTATACACACCCGCCCACTTTTCGTTGTCCGCCCAACCAAGGGCAACGCCCAAGCAGCTGGCAGAAAATCGGTTCGGAAAAAGAAAAAACCGTCGGGAAAAGCCGTTCGAACTGATTATCCATGTTGACCGTCGCGGCAGCAGCCGCAGCTGATTGATTTGTTATTGAAAATATTAGGCCTGGCCCCCAGAAAAGGGAAAATCGAGATCCCAAAAGATGGGAATCTGGGGAAATGTGAGATGGGCAGGTGGCGGAGGCGGAGGCGAAGGCGGGGCGGAGTGATGTGGAACGTGCTGTGCGTTTGGATACGCTTGAAACTTTTATAACTTTATGAGGGCGTTGTAATTTGATATCGCAAAGTTTTTTTTATTGCCTTTTATAGCCTTATAATTTGGCCGCGATGTTGTTGTTAGAATTGTTGTTGTTGCTGGTGTCGCCACAAGAGAGAGATGCTGAGCCCGTTTTCCTGGCCCATCGGGCGTATACTTGTTGTTTTGTGGCGTCTTTTTGTTTACACGTTATTTATGGCTTATAAATACGTATCGGTTTTTGGCAGGGGGCGGACAAGAAAGGCGTTGCTCGAGGCGGCTTTTCTGAATTGTAAACAACTCACATGTGGCCTGTACTTAAGAAATCTCTTAATGAGCATTAGATGTCGGCAAATGAAATTAACCATATGTACATATAGAATGGTGTGTGATTGTGTATTTGTATTTGTAATTGGATTTGAGACGCCTTTACCTTTTCTAGTCCCGTCATCAAAATGACGGCACATTTTGATTTTTAGCTTATACAATTTTGCAATCTCAAACGTACATATGTGATTAGTTATAATTAAATTCGCAGATGGGATTTCCACCTACTTCAAATGAGAATAAAGAAAAAATCCCGTGGAATAGATATTTATAATTTCTATGATTTTTATCTTATAATGACTTTGCTCGAAATGCCGCCAAATGACGTAATGCCATGATAGTTTGATTTGTTCTTTATTCTTATTTTAAAGCGAGAGTTCTTTTTTAATATATAAATTCCTTATAAATTCTATAGATGGAAAAAATTTGTTTATTTATGTAATTGCCCTATCACAAAAAGTTGATTTGAGAATCAAGTCAATCGAAATGTGTCATAAGAAAAATATGATAAGTATTAATTAAGATTACCAATGGGCAAATTTAAATTGTATTTAAATTGGATTTTCTGGAACTATATTTCATCTTTATAACCCTTAAGTTACAGATTTTTTCCAGATAATATCGTACAACTGAAGACTTACATTCAAATGGGTTTAAATCTGTCAACTGTCACGTTAAATAGAATTTCTATACTCAATATGAAGTGTTATGAAGTTATGAATTGCAGCTGTTTTAGTTTTTATTTTGTTTGAAATAACAAATTTGAATTTTAAATAATATAAAATAATAGTTATACTTTTGTAGTTACATTTTTGGCTTAGTTATATTCTAGTTAAGCCATTTAATTTAGGAATAAAACTACAACGGGTAAGGGGATGTATAGTTCAGATTTCGGATTATTATTTACAATCGGGACTAAAAGTTTTATTTTTGGAATATCGTTTAGCTATTAATATTCAAAATTAAAGTATTATCTGAACCGAGAGGTATTTAAAAGAATTTTTATAAATTTTAAGCTATTAGCTGTTATGTTTTAATCTAATTAATTAATAATAATTAGTTAATTAGTTAAAAATGTATAACCTGTAAGAACTTCATAAATTGAATCGAGTCTGCAGTGCACTATGTGAAATTTAACCCGTTTTTGTGGCCAAAACTAATTTTTCGAAAGTATGCAAATTTCCGTTTTTTTTAATTTTACCATGTTAAGAAATGATCAAAAGGTTATGTTACATACCTAAAATGTTAATTTAACAGTTAACTGTTAAAATACAAGCTGTTAAAGTTAGCTGTTGCTAGCGAACACCACTTGCTGTTCAAAAGGTTAATTTTGTGATGCAACTTCAAATTGGCATATCTCATAGAAAAAATCATTAAATAATCTAATTCAAATTGAATTTTGATTCTTCAGGTTAATACTATTTATTTATAATAATACGTTGTGTATTTCGTTCGTATTTTTCTAACAATTTGTATATTTAACAAGTGGTGTCCCCTTGCCACTTTTGGAAAGAATGTTGAACTTTGCAAAGGGTTTTAAAAAAATAAAGAAAATACATAGTTAATTAAATAAATAAATGTTAATGTCAACTATTCATGTTCTTCTTGAAAATAAAGAAATTTGAAAAACATATTTTCCCATTAGTAAGCAATGATAATTCTTCTCTATAAATAACAGAAATATTATAAACTCGTTGCCCTAATTTATTAGGCTATCATTTACTGTCGTCGTCGTTTGAAAACTTGTAGAGTAGTATGTTAAGTATTTTATTCTCACTGTTGAAGAACATAATTAGAAGCGAATGAGTTGAGGAATGGAGTGAGTAAAACGAAAAACAGGTTGTTTGCACTGCGCAGAAATGATTTTGTTATTTTCTTTTTTTTTCCCTTGCGTCTAGTTGTTTACAATTTCAGCTCGAGGCCCTTGAGAGTCGGGGGGTTTTCTTCGCCATTTGATTATGCTCAGGAAATTTAATTGTTTAAGGTCGTCGGCACCCAGAACTCGTTTAGAACCCCACAGTCATCACCTAGAGTCAGGTCGAATGATTTGGTATATAAGGCGACTAGCTGTAGGATCGGCTTGATTATAGTTAACTTTTTGGGTGAAAGACAACAACGAGACAGCGAGACAACGGAACGGAACGATGCGCGTTTACCACTTGAATCTATTAGTGCTAAGTGCCGGCCTTTTGGTCCTACTGGCCAAATCGGGGACCACGGCCCCCCAGGCGGATGTGGATGTACAGCAACTGACTCTGGCGGATGTAAATCAGGTAACGGAGCAGCAGGAGCAGCCGGCAGTTCGCCTGGCCAGGCAATTTGGATTCGGCGGCGGCCGACGAGGATTTGGCAGGGAGAGGCGGTGGATTCTGTTGCGGCGGAGGCGGCGGTGGGTTCCGGAGACCTGGTTTCGGTGGCGGCGGATTCGGGGGCTTCTATCCCCCACCACCACCGCCGCCGCCCTTCTTCGGCGGTCCCTTCTACGGCTAAGTGTTATTAATTTAATGTGCATATATGTGATACGATCAGAGCAGGAATTAGCTGCTAATAAATCAACACGAGCTGCTGCTCTAATTACCCGACCAAGTGCTGAGCCAGTTTTTTATGTGGCTCCGTACTCTTTTTTAACATCCATTCCAGGTGCTTAGTCGTCTTATATATGGGTTTAAAGGGGAAGTTGTTGAAAATACAGAGATGCTGAAATACCATTTCTTTAGTATTAATGGTTGACATTTTACCTGGATGGGATAAAATCTATTATTATTATTAAAATTTGGATACAACTCAAGTTAATCACGAAGTTATAGACCTTAAAGTCCTTAAAGTCTGAAAGTAGAAGTACTAGTAAATGTTGAAAATCTTTGAAATCATTAGTTAATGCTAAAGAAACATAATTTGTCAAGTTTCGAATGAAATTTAAGACTTTTAACGTACTTTTTTTCCTCTGTGTATAACCCAAGAAAGTTTCTTTTTGATATGTGGTACCAGATTTTGAAAGATAAGTTTTAACCTGGATAAGCTTCTTTAATAAATCAAAAGAAGTAGCTTTTATAATTGCCAAAACAAGTATTTAACTTGTTTACACTGCTCTAGCTCTCTTGATAATTCCCATAAATAGGGCTGCTACTTTGATACCAAGAAATAACTAGATTTAAGATGAGTGCTCTACGTTGCCTTATAATTTTACTTTTTGGAGTTCTGCTGACATTAGCAGAAAACTATAAGTCCGAGGATAATAAAGATCAACATCCTCTGCCAGATGAAGTGAAAAACGAATCTGTAGAGCGGATACGCCGTCAGATTGGAGCCTTTGGCTATGGCATTGGAATATTTGGAGGAAGACCTATTGGTAATCCCTATTATCTGGGTAATCCATATGTTAATCCTTACTTTGTACAACCCTTTGGGCATTATATCCATGATCGTCGATTTGGAGGAGGATTTGCTGGAAATTTCTATGGTCGCTAGGGTATTTTTTTGTATTGTCCTCCAAAATGACAGTCAATGTCGACTTAATAAAGTTAAACATTAAAAAGTTCAAAAACCAGTGGATAAAAAGGGTTTAAAGGGGGTAATGAAGAGGTGGTGGGAGGGGAGTTTCGCCCAAGGGCGATGCTGAAATTATAAAAATTTCATTTCAAATCACGTTGAGTGACATGCAGACTGAGCACAGGACAAGAAAACTTAATCAGCGATGTTAACGATGTCAGGCTGCGGGAAACAGGATGTCATTCTGTACCATCAAATGGCTCCATTCCGGGTCGCGTACTCGTATTTTATTTCGCTCTCTACTTTCTTTCTTTTTTCTTTCATTTTTTCTCTTTTTTGGTTTTTGTATTCTTTTTTTTATTTCGTATTTTCTAATTCATATGCGTTTCAAGTTTTAATTACGTGGGAAAAAAGCGAATGAACAAACGAGCGGGTGCCATCCAGGGACCAAAGCCAGGAGCAGGACTTTTCTTCTTCTGGCTTCATTTTGGCTTGACTGACAGACAAGCAGCAGGAGCAGCAGCAGTAGCATGAAAATAACAAAATACGCCCAATCAGCCCCAGCCAGAACGGAAACGAGACGATACACAGAGGGTACTGGAGGGCAGACAGACACCCAGACCTAGAGACAGACAGCCGCAGACCCACCAACCAACGAAAAAAAAGGGCAAAAAAAAATTAAGTAGCGAAATCAGCGGGTACAACAAAAAAAATATATATATATATATATATATAACGAAAACAGAAGGAATTGGAGCTACCGAGAAGAACACAAATAAAACAGGATAAAGGCGTTGCATGCCAAGGATAATCCGTGCAGCGCTCCTACAAAGACGAAAACTCGCTACTGACAGAGGCGGAAGAAAAATGGTGGCACTCAAAAATTGTGAACTCACTTGACGTGGCTCATTCTGACGGAACTGGTACTAAACACTTTAAAAAAAAATTATCCTAATAATATTATAAGTTGATTAAAACAGGTAGACTCTGGCAGGATATGTTTTATGGCTAATGGATATGAGTTTAAAGGTAATCGTCTCTGGGTATTAAATATTTTTTAAGCTAGTTGCAGTTTGTTTTAGAATTTTTCATTAAGAGCAACTTTAACAGCCTGATTAATGTTAAAAAATATTTAAAATAAATTTAAGTAGTTAAAGGTTTAATTTGGTAATAAAATTAAAAGAATTTTAGGAAAAATTTGTCTAAATGCTTTTGTTTATATTTTACTAACTTTCATTTTGCGAAAACATGACAACATTTTAAAATTTATGTACTTTAAAATTAACTACGATTTTTTTAAAAAACATTTTAACCAAATAATAACTTTTATGAAATCTTCATATTATATTAAAAAGTTTTTAGTTGTAAAAACTATTTAAAAAAGGCATTAGTTACTGATCTAAGACTTTCTCTAACAGTATTGGCATTTTCAAAAGAATAAATTAAAATTTCTCTCAGTGCACAGCCTGCTTTCCGTATCCTCTATCCACCCACTGCCAAATGGCATGACGACGTTGTTTGGTGTTGACGTGTCTGTGGGTGGAATGGCGCCGGTCATCGCTTGTTAGCTGCGTGTGGCGGCCAAATCAGCGCTCCTTTCGTGGCTTGGCCAGAAGATGTGGCCATAAGCATAAATATGCAGCATCTGGCCAAATTGCTCTGTGCGTGCGTGCGTATTAAAAGGGGGCAAAAAATTCTTCGTCTGAGACAAAAAAAAAAATACAAAATAGAGAGAGAGAGAATAAATATCCGAGTAATTAACAATTACAATGATGCGTGGAAATTGTGTTGGCCAGCTCAGCTAGACCAGGCCCTAACGCTTGGTTGCCTGGTTAACGGACTGCTTGAGTGACTGACAGTTGCTATCAGAATGTGGATGCCTGTCCGTCCTGTGTCCGCCCGTCTGTCCGTTCATCTGTCCTTTCGGCTATCCGTCCATCTGCGGTTGTGGCTCTCTCCTCTTTGCTGTTACTCCATCATGCTGACATTCCCACAGATCCTTCGGTTATCCAGGATCCTTCGACCAGTGTGAAATAACAATGCGAATAGAATGGGGTAATAACATTATCGTCAGCAGTTTGCAACGTTCGGGTGAAAATCACCTATTAAATAATTTTTATTGCAAGATAAAAGGGGAAGAGTGGAGTTTTTAAAGAGTTATCATGACTCATTTTTGCAGATTTTCAAATAAGAATTGTTAAGTAAAACGATGAAATAAATAAGTTAAGTTAAGTTAAAAATATATATTTTCGTATTTTTCTTAGACATAAATTTCCACCAAACATAAAAGTTTTTGTGTTTATATTCTAAATTATAAAATTTAACCAATTAGACTTACTTCATTTTTTTCTTTAATAAATATATTTTAGCGTATTACTCCATCGACTTTCGTTCAGCAAACTCTGCACTTTTGATAAGTTTATGCTCAAATAAATCTGAAAATTGCCATTATTTGAGGTAGTAAATTTTAGACTGTTACCTATTGATTGGCTTGTTGCAGCACTCAAGTAGTGTAACCAACAACTAGATTCCATTTCATTGTCATTTCTCTAGAAAAACAATTAAAACAACTAAGGAGTGCGGAGGCTGTAAACATTCCAAAAGTTTTAAGTTTATTACAAAATTGCATTTGAAAGAGGAGAAAGCATTAATTTATTTTACCAACATGCCATGATAGCATTAACTGGGTAATCAAATTAGTACGGAAAGGATTATATGCTATGGTATTTATAGAATACGAAAAATAAATAAATACAAATTTTAGTGAAAAGCCCATTAAGTGAAAAGCGTGTTTAAATAAACTTTAATTCGCCGTCCGACAGGAATATCATATAAATTAGCCATTGTAGGGGAAAAAGCACTCTGCCCCAAACCTCAAATACACTTTTGGCCAGATTAAGGATGATTTTATTTTGGTTTTTCGTTGTGTGCTTTCCCGCCTACCACGTTTAATTGTATTTGTGGCGATGGAAAGCACACACACACCCACACAAACACAAACACACAGAGGCAAACACACAAATACTCCGGCATGTAGGCACATCCTGGCCGCAAAGTTTTCCGTTGCTGGAAAATCTAAGAAAAAATCCCTAATTAAACAGTTTGTCAGTAATGCAAATAAACTTTGCTAAACTTTTTGCCCACAGTCAACGTTTCCTTCTTCCTTCAGCTTGTTGCTTATTATTCTATGCTTTCTTTCTTATTTCGAATTTTCCCCTCTTGTAATTTTCATTTTTGTATTTCAATTTTTTTTATTTTTTTTTTTTTTTTGGTCAAGCACACAAAAATGTAATTATTAAAAAATTATGCTAAACACGCAATAAAAAAGTTGGCCAGAGAGCGAGACAAAAAAACATAAAAATTAACGAAGAAAACCGACGACAGGACACAGCACAACGAAAAATACGAATAGAAAAAAATGTATTTTTAAAAAGGCAAACGGTCAAATTTATATATTTGTAATTTCAGTTTCCTTTTTTTTTTTTTGCTGTTAAAGTTTGTTGTGTTCATTTTACGTTTTGTTTTGTTAGCCGCCCGCATGATGATGGAAAAGAAGGAAAAGCATAAAAGAGAAGCGAGGCTGGGGCAACGAGAGCAAAATTAACAATTGTTAATTTGAAAATTGCACACAAATGCGTAATGCGAAAGTTTTTGCGCTACGCAAACCGACGGACAGCAACCCGTAGTCTTTACCGGAATGCCCGGAGACCCCGAGAAGCCAGTGCCCAGAACCCAGACCCGGGACCTCAATTCCGGATCCCGCCAGACTCGGCTTGGCCACTTGTTAAGTGTTAATGAAATAATTATGCCAACTTTGCCAACGGTCCAACCACTGGCCGCACATGGCCCATACCGCCCACTTACTATGTACACAAGCACTGTGGGAAAATGGTTAGTAATTGGGAAGTTATTTTGGGGGGTTCTTAGTTCTTCTTAGAATATTATGAAGAAGGTCAGATAAGTTTGTTTACAAATATTTTGCATAATGAAAAGATATTTTGTTTTATATATTATGAATTGTTTTCGGTTTGTTGTAATTAAAATTTATGTATAATAAATTTTTTTTAAATTTTTTTAAGTGTAACTATTTTATGTTGTTTTCTTAAGAAAATTGTTCAAGAATTTAACACAACTTGTTCAGAATGCATTATAAAAAATAATTAGTGATGTACAGAGACTAAAGAAATTCAAATGTTCTAAATCTTAATAGAAAAAATAAAGATTTTATTTTTTAAGAGCCAAATAATTTGATAATTTGATTTTATAAGGCTAAAGGTAATCAATAATCTTAGTATACTATTTTATATATAAAAAATTAAATTGAAATTGTTAAATAATAAATAAAAAAAAGTCACAGAAATTGTTAAATATTTACGGAAAAATCAAAATTGTTTAGAAAGAAAGAAAATAAAATTGGATTTTAGCTTCCCCTCAAAAGGTAGTTTACTAACTTAAGGTTGTTTATAAAGAAACTTGTTAAACCGGCCAGAACTTAAATCTTATATAAGTCCATATCGAAAACCTTTTTTTTTTCAGTGCCATGAAGACACACACCCCCCTGGACAGAGAGAGCCTGTGGGTCAGCGGCTGGCATCCCTGCAGCCACTTCAGTTTTATTGTTCCCCTCAGCATCAAGTTGGGAACAATGAAGTGTGAGCTGGCTGGACTGTGCCCTCCAAGTCCTCCTCCTCCATCCATGTATCCCTGCCCTCTAGCCGCCTTTGCCCCCCATGCTTATTGCTTTTTTTAATTCGATAAACTGCCCTCTGAAGACTCACACAGCGACCTTGGTTTTGTGGCGCCCGAAAGCCTAAAAGCAGGCAGCGCTTTTGTGCCGCCGAGGCTTTCAAACGCCTAAGCCGCTTAATTACAACGAGTCGGTGGGGGCACCAGAGTTTGCCAGCTATTTGCTTAAGACGCGAAAATGTGATTAACAAGTGTGAAAAGCCGCCCGGTTCTCCCTTCAGTTGATTTTATTTTTCTT